CCGAACCGAACGGAACCGAACAGACTCGAACCGAACCCGAACGATTATATATTTATATTTGGACCCGACGGGTCCATTTATTAAATACCCAAAAGTTTTGGATCGATTTGGGTCTCTTCAGAATCGAACCGAACCGACCAACGGACAACCCTAGTGGTGGTTTGACGGTGTCAGTGTGGCAATGCGGCACTTTGGTTGCTATGATGGTCGTGGTGGTGGTTTGGGAATTTTTTAGTGGGGTTGGTGGTTGCGATTACGGGTGATGGAGGTGGGCGATCTGTGGGTATGTGTGCCGATCTGTGTGTGTTCTGTGATGTTTTAGCGGTGGTAGGAACGGAGGTCACTAATGGTGCGGTGGAGGTAGAGGTGTGCATTGCGGTGCAGTGGTGGTGTTTGACGGCGGTGCGGTGTGCGGTGTCGTGGCGGTGGTCGTGGGTAAGATGATATTGACATGGGTGTCTGTAACTAATTATTTGGTTGATTGTAACCAATAATTGGTTAATTTTTGACAAATTAATAATTTGTAGTCTAAAAACTCACAATTTATTAAGTTATAACCGAATTGTGACTAATAAAAGTTTTCATTTTGTGATTGATAAATAATCCGTGACCTAAAAATTTTTGATTTATGACCGAAAAATAATCTAAGAGATATGAAATTATTGGCCAAAAAAGAACTGTGACCTAAAAAATTGTTAATTTGTGACCAATAATTTAATAATTTGTGATTTATAATATTTGTGAACTATAAATAAATTGTAACGTTTCAATTTTTGATTTGTGACCGATGAACAAATTTTGACTTATAAAGTTTTTGAATTGTGATGTTAAAATAATTTGTGATATATAAAATTTGTGATTTGTGACTAGTAAATAATACGTAACTTACTAATTTTATAAATTTGTATCGATGAAAAAATTGTGAACTATAAAATTGTCAATTTGTCATTATGAAATAATTTGTGACCTATAAATTTTTTTATTATGATCGAGAAATAATTTGTAACCAATTAATTTATAATTTATGACCAAATTATATGAAATTGTGACATTAATATATTTAATTAATAAAATATGTGTTTAATTAATTAATTTAAAAATATCTGAAATTTGAAATTTTAAACTTAAGTTCTTAAATTTGAAATTGGTAAAACTAAACATCTTACTTATGTATTGTTGCCTGTC